GAGCTATGCTCTGGCTTCTTCAGGTAAACACCATTTTGCCTCTTATGAACTTACTGTCTGTAGGTTAAACTGCATGTGTGGCAAGATTGAGGTGAGTGACTTTCCTTGCCTGATAGAATATTTCTGAAAGATGCTTAAATGTTCTTATTTTCCAATCAAGCCAAGGCATAAAAAATGGGAACCGTTTTTGAGCACTTACCATGACCTAGGTTGCTAGGTGCTGTTGTGTATGCTGTTTCATGTAACTCAGATGACGATCCTAAAAAAAAATCATATGAATTTAATAATTTAGATGATAAAACTGAGGCTAAGAAAGACATTTCACATCTCTGCCCCTATCTCCTCAATAAATGAGTTTGGTGTAGTTATTCCACTTAGAAGGTGAGAGAAGCATTACTCCCAAAATGTAGGTCATGAACGCATATTCATGCAACTAATAATTAAATGTTCTAAGGTCAAATTCCAGTCTATGGGTCTCTGAAGCCCATCTACCTTCCCACCCCGATATTATATCCATGGTGTCTCGGGGCCCTGGCTTTGGAATGTATTGCTATGTGGCTATATTGCAGAGAAAGAATAGGGAACTTAATAAGCGTATGAACACCTTATTCAATGGCTTGATCTGCAACACCGGATCTAGCTGTGTGACGTGTAAGGGACTTAAATTATTGTAGCTCACTGCTTCCTCTATAAAATGGAAGAAAAAAACATTGTACCACCTCACAGCAATATTATGAAGATTAAACAAAAAAAAAATATATGTAGAACACAGCCCAAGGTCTTCTTTATAAAAAGCACTTATTAAGTCAGTAAGTACTAGTTCACAGTATTAGCTGTTAGCAAGGACCAAAGACTAAGGAAAAACAACCATCTAAAAGTAAGCTGGTATCATGTTTTCCACAGACATTACGGAAAGGAAAGAGACACAAATGAATGAAATCTGTTTGTTAAACTAGTTCAGAGCATGTCACTGTGCCTTCTCATTTATACTCATCTCATAACAAAACCAGTAGTTTGCTGTATTAGTATGACTCCTAAGGAATGATGGACTAATTTAAAATATCATACTCAGTCTATTCTGCAATATTCAGCCATTCTGATTTTTAATGCCAGGAAGTTCAAAGATTAAGATGATCAGGAGGGAAAAAAACACAAAAACTTACCATTTTCATCTTTCACATGAGGAATACTGGTGATAGCTAGAAGAAATGAGAGCAAAAATGGTCAATTGTTCATTCCCATTATTTAAAAGAATTTATACGTGTCTGTGTGTGTCTATATGTGTGCATATAAATAAATATGTACAAAATCTGTCAACAAAGAGGCAGGAGGCCATTTGTTAAAAATATGAGCCTCACAGTTCCAGAAATACTTGGTCTGATTCTATGTATTTCAGTAGCTCTTATTCATATATTCTGTTTCTGCACATGAGGATGCTGAAGTTCATCAAAAGGACATTTTTTCTTTTCTGTCAAAACTGGCCTATAACATGCAAGACCATCTGGTTTTAATACCAATGCATAGCTCCTAGCACAGGGCCTGCAGCAAAGTACGTTTTCAATAAATAATTCTTCAATGGAAAAATAAAAAGAACAGATGTGAGCTTTACAATATTCAGCATACTCTGTGACATGAAGTATTGCCACCAAAAAGAATTTTTCATTTCTAGAATCACAGCAGAATCTTACATATTCAAAGGAGTACGGTTAAAGCAAATTTCTTGTCTAAGCCGAGGAAAGCAGCCATACATTTCCCAATCACGCACCTTCCCAACATCTCCACACTATACACGTGTTTCTGGACATAC